CACCCATCTAAGCAATAAAAAAAAGTTAGGATTTTATGTATGATTTTATGTAAATACCTATATATATGGCGAAAACGTGTTTTATATCAATCGCGAGGAAGCCGACTGAGCAGATGGACCTCAAGCTTGTCCGTCCGTCTTAGTGAGGCCTCTTAACCCAAGTCCAGTAGTGGAAATCCCCATTCGTACAATATACGCCACTACTTCATTGGTTTAATAATTCTTATTCATGACGTTTTTTTTCGTAACTGTCAAGAAAAAACCTATCACACCAAGCCTAAATCGTGATTACTTCGAAAATGGTTTAAAAACCAATTAGATTCTGCGAACCAACAAAAAATAAGTGAACAACAAAACATTCCTTGTTAAAGTACTATTAAAACCTTACTTTTGATGTTGAGACTTTATGTCCGCTCAATTAAAAATTACATGCATACTTTGGTATACCTAATTCTTAATTTTATTTAGTAACCAAATGTAATAGGTACAATGTCAAAGATTCTTTACAATTAATCAAGAGTTACGAGACACTGACACGAAAACGCGGTCACCTACCAACAAGCTGACGTCACCACTTGTAAAAACTGCTTCTCTCGTTACACATCGAATTTGTTTTTGTACAGGCTAAAATAACGCTGACTTATTTTTGTAATTCGAAGCTAATGTAACGTTATTATTACAGTTACGTAAATAAGAATTTAGCTGTTCGGTTATTTGAATTAAAAACATTGTCCAATGCAATTTTATATTTCCAATGCTTTTTTTTTTCCTATCTAAGCTGATAGCCTTGAGAGGCTACATAAGCGTAACCTTAACTAGTAGGTGAGCTTACGGGGCTCAAACCTGACGACGTTGCTAACACGAACCTTAGCAAGAGCCGTGCTTCGCAGAATCTACCACCGGATCGGAAACGCGACCCACTGAGAAGATCCGGCGAGAAACTCAGTGGGTTGTGTCTGAGGGTTAGTTTCCAATGCTTTACACTCGTCACACGAGGCAGCTTTTAAACACTTAGGTTTTTATAATAACAGTGGTTTATGCATCTTGAGATAAGGCCATATTCTGATACGTTTCATTTAAAAATAGCGAACAATAAGGGGAAATACCATAATTTTTTTGAGAATACTGAATGAAAATTATGAATCAAAACGTTTTTAGAACCGCATATCGATACAACCTGTTTTGGGGGAATTTGAAATTGATTTCGAAACATTCTTAAGTAATAAATTATTTGTGTAAAGGTTAGTTAGTGATTTAAGCGTAGTGATATAGGCTGTGCCTAAAAACGCCTGTAAAGGACTGTTTTTAAATATTAAATAGACTAACTATCATTACAGAAGAAGATGACAAAGACCTCGAAATTTCGATTTTAGAAATATCAAGAGTAGCAATAGATCGTTTAGCTGAGATTATAAACTTATTATTATAAGGTTTAGTGAGATCATGGGTACAAATTAGTTTTGGCAAAATGGATACCGCAAGTTAACCGAAAAAAATTATATCTTCAGTATTCGGAGACAATAATATGTCTTTTTCATTGATTGCAGAAATATAAATAAATATAATAGATGATTTTTGGATTCAATCCAACATTAAAAATTGAAGAAAAACGCGGAAAACTACTATTCAGTTATTGGTCGTGGAATGTTGGAAGTAACGTTCATTGATTGGTTCATTGAAGTTGTGCACGAGGAAATTCAGGCTGTGCTGGCTTCAATTTTCTTGACGACCCAATAAAATGTCCAGATATAGAACCTAGTGTTATTAATTCACTACCAAAATTACCAGAGCATATACGTGGAATAAAATTTAGCGATAATAACGCAATTCCCGATTTAGATAAATATAAAAAATAGAATAAAGAAAAATAATATGAAAACAGTATTTTAAATAAACTCAATTAGAAAAATTTGATACTCAAGAACTCTTCTTTATATTAATGGAAAAGTTATCATTGATGTTTGCAATAAAAAGATAGACCATACTGGTTAAATTAATATTTAGAAAATATAATACTACTTTGCTAAATAACATACATCCTTATTCGTTGAAGTTGTAAGTGTAGCCTTTAGTCTCGAAGTACAGTATTGTTTCAGAGTCAAAGAAATTGGCTTGTATAAATATATATAGTAATGCACTTATTAGATTTTATTCATGGCTATTTCGATCTATGAGGTCAAAGCATGGAAATAATAAAATATATTTTGCTCCAGTACTTAATCATGTTTTCGTGATGAATGAAATTCGCCACGATTCGCAAAACAAATTTGGCTCAAGAATTTATGAAGGATCTTAAGGCAGATGTTCGAATCGTCTGACAGATTACAAAAGGCTCAATTCAATAGGCATGCTCACAAAGCCACAGATGCGCGATGCGATGTAGTATTTGTATGTGAATCAAGAGGGCAAACAGGGCGCACACTCCAGGTCTCGGATTTACTGGAAATTTTTAATACGGTTCTCCTAAGAGGCTTGTGTTGAATTTTTGCTTTTTTTTTTATTGCATAGATGAGTGGACGAGCTCACAGCTCACCTTGTTTTGACTGGTTATTGGAGCCCTTAGACATCTACAACGTAAATGCGACACACACCTTGAGATATAAGTTCTAAGGTCTCAAGCATAGTTAACGGCTGCCCACCCTTCAAACCGAAACGCATTACTGCTTCACGGCAGAAATAGGCAGGGTGGTGCTACCTACCCGCGCGGACTCACAAGAGGTCCTACTACCAGTAAATTCGTTTGGTAAATGTATCGTAATTAGTGACTGAATCGTATTGCTCTTATATTTAAAAAACATAATAAGAATTCGCATTTTGATATAACTGGGTTGTTAGAGGTATAAATTATTTTCACTGTTTTAGGACGTAATGTGATATATTTATGAAAAGTAAATAATGATCTTACGATACAGGATTTGCTACCTATGAAACTTACTTTCAAACGATAATATCTCTGTTTTAAAGTACATCAAATAAAACCTTGCTAAAGCTATCGTGTACTCTATAAATATTATAATGCAAGCTATGATTTTTTTACTGTAGATTTAAATTTACACCGTAAAGTCTACAATTTTTAAACATCATGAGAACAACACATTTATTATATTAGTTAGTAACGCCCATGAATACCAGCTTGAATGTGTGTGAATGTAGCCAGTGGCAAGGCTGCGTGTACCTGCTACCTGCCTATCTCGCATTCTTGTACTATCTATGAACTATCGGAAGACTTGGTAGAGTGTTGTAACGGTTCCTACATATTCGCATCTGAACTTTGCTAACAGGCTTGTCCTCGTATATAAACTGCTTCATTTGACGGCTGTGACATTGACTGACATTATAATTATTACATTACAAGTGTTAGTACTTTTAGAACTGGCACGCAGACCCTGTACGGATTCAATGTTATCGAAAATACACGTCGACTTTTCAAAGAAACACGCTTTACATTTAACAACAAAGGTACCGTTAGTGTTAACAGATTTTTATTTTATAACTTTTCTCAACGTTTTTTACAATAACAATTTTCAGACACTAAGAATTTATTATGTGATCGTAAAACTAGTCGTGATTCAAAAATCAACAAAGATATTTTGGGTTATTTGAGTCATAAAACACAATAATGTCCGGCCACGTTTGCTAGTGGAATACGTTTCGTTGTATGTCTGGAAATGAATAGATACTAAACATTAATCAAAGTGAGAACTATAGCGCAGGCGACCACAATGTTTCTGTGATTAGTTTCCCATTCAAAAGTGTCGAACATGTTTCGTTCATTGATTATATTATTATTATTTCTTGTCCCCGTTCTGTGTATTTGTAGGTCATGAGCCAGCAACCTCAAAACATTCCAAAGGAAATACCGATCAAGTTTGAAAACGTATCGCAAATATCTCATTTCCTTTTATAATACTTTTATTATTTGCTTTAAAAGTAAACGATATAATATAGCACATCATCACTATCAGGCGGAAGATATTTAACTCCTAAACCTAACCTAAGCATCAGCCCGTTGCGTTTCTCGCCGGATCTTTTCAGCGGGTCGCGATTCCGATCCGGTAATAGATTCATTCGCGAAGCAACTATGTACTCTTGAGTTGTTAGGTCTCCTTTGGAGGCGCTCGGGTAGTTGTTAGTAAGTCCCACCCCTCCCGGCTGAGCCCTTGCTCGCCCACCTGCCCCGGTAAAACTGAAAAGGCCTCTGGGCTACCAGTTATCTCTCAAACATAAAAAAAACGGAAGATATCATGCCCGCTGTCTACCTGAAATACTCTTATTAATCTTCGTTTGTAGTCGTCCTACCGCGCATTTTGATTGTTTATTACACTTATATTTTTAGTGCATTTATAATAAATGTCATATTACATGTTTGAATAGCCTCAACTTAAAGAGTTATTAAGGCGTATCTAAATAAATTAAGAAGGCACTTATTACTTGAAACTAAGCACAGTGCGTGTTGCATTATGAGTCACGTCAAAAATGTGTCGAGTCACAGCATCGTACCGTCAAATGTCGATTCCCTTGTACATTTTGTATTGTCTTAACAGATAAACGAGTCGGACGAGCCAGTGTGATGTCATAGTTCAAAGGAACGCCCTCAAACGTCGCTCAGCATTTCGCAATTTGATGGATATTGAGTTTAAAGAGATGGGCGCGTCGTCGTTTCACAGCAGGTAATTTCGTGGTATTTACAAAATGGTCAAGTCATAATGCTGGGTGTTATTGATTGTGCAATTGACGGGGGCGGTGGGGATGTGCGGGAGGGGGCGCAACAGGTGTACGAGGCCAGTGCCAGCCATCGCACGCGCATGGGAGCGACACGAAGGCCGCAGCCGCGCCGTAGCGTTTGGTGTCGCAAGTGTTCTGTTCATTTCCATAACATCTATATTAACAGCTTTTAAAGGTAACTTAGAGTTGAATTATTTATCAGCTATTTATGATTTAATAAAGTAGAATCGGTTCGAATACAAAACAGATTTTTTTTAAAACAATAATAAACTCACCTCTTTAAGTCCATCTAAACGGCCAAGTGACTTGGACTGGCGCAATGGCAAAAAAGCTTTCAGTGCGTCCATGCGCGAAGTTCGCTCAGGCTCCGCGTTGGCTGCAACGGTAGTGAGATCAGCGCACGAGAGACGGGCTTTTCGTCTTTTATCGAGCAAGTGTTTCGCGGTCCTGGACCGACGTTGCACCGGTGCCGCATCTTCCTCGGGCTCGCTGCAGACTTCTCGCGCGGCGTGGACCGTGTGCCGGCGTCTGGACACCGGCGGCGACGTCAGTCGCGACACCAAAGACTCGAACATCACACTCGTATCCTACTGCGGTACAAAGGAGCGGCGCTCAAGCCACTCTCAAACAAATCCATATCGGTTTTCGCACGTTTTATTTCGTTTCTCCGAACCCCTATAACCAAACATTTCCGTTGACCGTAATGTAGATCGAAACAAGATGACTCTCAATGCCTTTTTATATTAAATGTGCCGCCAAAGTACCTTCAAATGTGTTGTAGATTTAGATCGTTGACCGATCATGAATATTGTCATCGGAATACACGAAATCGTTTTTGTTTGAAATTCATTCACACAGCGTGCGCACCGTGACGGACGGAAGTAGCAATACGAGTTCACATTCAAATAGGATGCTAATAATATAATTGCATTTAGTTTTTCACTAAATCGAAAATTTTAAAATAAAACAATGAATTGCGAAAAAAAAATGTTGTTGCCTGATAAATGTTACACACTGTGTAGTTCGTTAACCCACTTGCCGAATTACTATTACAATTAAAAGCTAACTTTTAAATCTCACGACACGATTCAGTTACACCTAGTGTACCAAACTCTTATGCACGTAGTTTCGTGTATGCAAAATTAAATATTCTTGTGGCACTTTGCCATCTCTCAGGCGAAATAAAAGCACACAAGGTTAATAACAAAAATAGTAACACTCAGTCGATTATTCTTGTCGTTTGTTACAGTAATCATTTGCACTGAATATTTCCTAGTAGTTTATCTTTTAAATCAACATACACATTTGTTATTCGAATAGTTTTTAGAGACTCATAATTAATTGTAGCGGAAACATTGCAACAGCTTCAGCATTGTTTGAATGTTAATTTTAAAATACTTTTATTTATCTGTTTGGGTTGTATTTTATTGTCATATTTGATTATACAATTTACTTAATTATAAAACGTATAAAGCTAATGCTGATTACTAAATTAAATTTACTAAAACAAATGTAGACATGCAGTAGCACAACACGCAGGGTCGCAAATGAAACGTTACGTTTTCACTTTTACACCTGTGTCAAGATGATTGTTTGCTTCTCTTCGCCATTGTGAATGAGCCTTGTGTGGGAAAGAACTAAGGCATATTGTTTTACATAAAAAGTGTAAACATTCGCAGCCGTTAACTTCTAATTCAAAGTTTTTTTTTTTTTGGTCCGAATTTTTTAAGTTTATCGACGCTATTCCTAGTGCCTTTTGATCGCAAGCCGTGGTGCAGTAGCAAATGTTAATATGGAGCATAGCTCGGCTAATAAAACGTTTAGTTCTAAGGCTGGCAACGTCGAAGCAAACCGGTACGCGGACCGGTCCTAAGCTGCCCCTGTCCCGCGCATATGTCTTCATCCCGACGTTTTTAAACACACGCATCCATGTCACCTTATCGGGTTGATCATTGCGGCTGAGCTTCTTGTCATCTCCTATTTCTCAGTTTCGGACAGATGCGCACGCATATGAGTGTTCATTTTATCGGGAACAATGCTAGAAGATGTTATAGAATTCTATATTTGAACTAATATCGTTTTCGGTGCAAGGCTTCAGAATTTTAATTCCTCATACAGCACTCTTACTGATGGGACTGCAAATTATCAAGGTCTATAAAAGATTTTAATAATAAATAACAATCAACGAGTAGCTATGTATATTTCTTTCATTTTACGAAAACGTTCGCTGTTAATTACTGTTATTAATTAAATCGATTATCAAATGCAAACTCTACTAACGTCATCACAAATGTTTGCGTATCCCACTATGAGCAACCCTAATGTACCTCGACACAGATAATAAATTACTACAGACCGCGTTACCAGCTATTATGATGCAATCATCAAAATAACGTATTGAGTTCTTGCAGACAAGAAAACCATGAACAAATCTAATATAGCGTGAAAACAATTGGCGAAAGTGTGGTATAAACGACAAGTTAGCCAATAGCGAGCGCAGTGACAAAGACGTAGATTAGAAAGTGTGTTATGTTGTCGTATCAGAAAGCCCGTAATACGGTGCGCATACGCTCTGATTGCCGCCCTATCTACTACTGAATCTGTCGCATACACACATCACAATATCGCATCCGATTCAATCTGTCAACGATTAGTCACGTAATAATTTTCTGTATGTACGAGTATAGTGTGTAATTGTCAAATGTAATTTCGTGATATCTTCATATTTATTTAGAATATATGTACGAGTGTTTTAATCGTTTTTAATAATAATACATCGATTTTACGTCAGTGGCAGGCGTCAGAAAGGCTCAACAGGATTGAGAGTTAAAGTCCGACGTTACATTTTATTATATAATCGATAATATTGCACAATCGATTTTTTCAGGTGCAGGTTAAAGAAAACCTACAAAGATTAGGAGGTCAAGCGATGACCTTGCTCTTTAACTGGGTCGGTCGTGAGATGGGTTATCGGGTGGCAGACGTCACGCTTGAACCCACTTCGCTTTTCCCTATCTGGGTGAGCGACCGATGATATGCCGAGAATTTTTATATATTATCAAAATACGATTTGTCAACGTTCTTTTTTGCTGATGAAATTAAAAATACAAATAGATTAACAAGTTTTAGTTATTTAAGCTTCAGAATGTATAAAAATTAGAATTTTGAGTGTTAAACGATTTAAAATAACAGTAAATTTCGGTCTCATTTTTGTAAACTGTACAGACAGACGTCTTCCGTAAGTGTTATATTATACTACAGTGTCCATATTTAAAATGAATCATTCATTACTTATCACGTTGTTCTCTTACTTAAGCTTAAGGAGAGAAGCAATATATAAATAGCTTTACAAGATCTACCAATGTTAAACTTAGACGAAAAATTTATACAATATTCGCTGTTAAACTTGTGTATAGAAAAAAACTTTACATGCTTTACAAACTTTATAAAACCTAGAAATGACATCACATCATCTTCTGTATCCACAAACTAGCAATAAACTCTGATTAGAATAAAGATTTCCTATTCCTATATTATTTAAATAATAATTCGCCTTGCCGCTTGTTAACTTTATTAATTTATCTAAGACCTGAAATATTAGACCATATGCTACTGTTAGTAATTCTATATCGGAAGGAGTAACGTAAGCCTCGATTAAAATTTTGTATCAAAACTTTTTTCCTTTTGTCTTGACAACATTAATCAAGGATTAAATATGGGATTTATTAGAACGAAAGTACAGGCGTCTAACATTCTACGGTACGCTAAATCAGCGTCCCATTTTCATACAAATAAATCGACTGGGGTTTTTTAATACTAAATTGACGAAACCACCAAAAACGGAATCGCTTACTTTAATGATAATACGTGAGTGAAAGCTACTAAGCAGTCTAATGTTCAAAATTCAAATTAAAAGCCATTCTCAAATTTAACAATCGTAGTAAAAACATGAAGTTTCTCCCACAATGAACACTCCCACGCAATAAGGTAAAACTTAACAAGTGCTTTTCCGTGACCTATCCAACGAATACTTCTTTATATGTGTGTTATTTAGAAGACTGCGTAAGCTTTAACAGTACAACCGTTATCCTTACTTGGTTGAAATTATGTGACTATAATTTGGTAATGTTTTGAACTACAAGTGTGTTTAAAGTTTGTTCCTCTCTTACTGAGTAGATAGCGCTCGCGTAATACACAGTTTGTTTAGTATCAAGTCATTCCCGATCCTGCGGACAGAATGGAAAGCAGTCGACGTCGCCCAAAACACGTCATCTCGGATCCTCCCGATCCACTAACGGTGCTTTTAGGTACTTCAAGCACCGGTCACCGTTCTCGTCGAACCCGTCGCTTGTGACGAAGGGCTCGACGAGTAAATTAACTCTCAGACACAGCCCACTGAGTTTCTCGCCGGATCTNCCGATCCACTAACGGTGCTTTTAGGTACTTCAAGCACCGGTCACCGTTCTCGTCGAACCCGTCGCTTGTGACGAAGGGCTCGACGAGTAAATTAACTCTCAGACACAGCCCACTGAGTTTCTCGCCGGATCTTCTCAGTGGGTCGCGTTTCCGATCCGGTGGTAGATTCTGCGAAGCACGACTCTTGCTAGGGTTCGTGTTAGCAACTTCATCAGGTTTGAGCCCCGTGAGCTCACCTACTAGCCACGGTTACTCTGAAATAGCCCCTAGGGCTATCAGCATAGGTAGGAAAAAAAAAAAAAAAAGTATCAAGTGTAAAAGATCGAGAATCATCTTCATTAAGTGTACCACAAGATGTTATGAAGGGCGAAGGCCCGTTAGATAGTACTCGTGCAGATTCACTGCAACGTGACAGAGTTATTTAAATGACTCTAACTGTAGGACGGTCGATGCAAGAGCTTATAACCCGGTCGTTTGTTGGTGTAGTTAATATGAAGTAGACATTAAGGGCTCGCCGATCAATCGTTATTTAAGAATTATCTAAACAACGTTTCTTCCCATGATTTGTTCGCTGATGTACAATAAATGCATTCGTCACACTTTTATAACGGTTCTTTCATGAACTTAAGTAAGAAAGTTTTAATGTTAAACCAAGAAAGCGAAGCAATTTCAAACTGTTAACGTCTGCAGAGTCAACGATATTATTTATTCAGATTTGTTAAATTTGTAATTGCCAAATACAATTAAATACACACTATGCAATTTTGAAACAAAATAAGACAATTTCATTATTACCAGATTAATAGCTACCTAAAATATAATACTTATAAATCAATGAACAAAATATAATAAAATTACTCTGAATAGAAATCGTATAACAAACAAGTACAATTTTGGTCACCATTTATTTTATAACTTTATTCTTGAAACTTGTAAAAATCCACACAATCACAAACGAAGATTTTGGTGAAGAAAGTCCCAAAAGAAGCTTATCTTATTTGACTTCTTTAAGCTTTAGATTAAGGTTTTTTGTGTGCGACGTTTCTTTAAATTTACATTGAAGAGAAGGCCGTTAATTATCTTGTCTCTCTTCGTAAAGAATAAAACTTTATGTTGCTTTTTTGGACGGCAGTAAAAATTCCTTCAATCCGTTTTTTTTTTTTCATTCTAATATGGTTCATTTTGACAAAAGATGTTAATTCATTTCATTGCCATTATAAAAAAAACATAACGTCTATTTCCAAATGCTAAATTAAGTTATATTTTGCTTCAATACTTTTCGATTTTCCGATGATTAAGAACTTTCGTATTATTTATCTCATTGCTTGAAAAATTTGGGATTCCAAGTCTCACTTATCATCCTTATTTTTAATACACAACCTAATATAAATTCAAACATACGCTGCCAAAATCACTTACCGTAGCTTCAGCATAAGTTCAAACGTATAAGAAAGTTTGCTTGAATTGCTTTTGTTCAATTTTGGCGTTGTATTTAATGCAAGATAGCAAAAAATCTTAAAGCCCAAACAAAAACTTGAAATTTTCCTTTAACTAAGTACCAATATGAAACATTAGCGTTTTTTAGACATTTTTTTTAAAGAATCGCAAAAACAGTAATTTGTACAATGATTTCTGTAGTTTTGTTTTTTTACTGCATTGATTGATGACTGACATCATATCTGCTGTTAAGTGGTTACTAAAGCCCATAGATATCACGTAAACTAATATAACTTTAGACGTATGATATCGAAGTCACAATTATATTATATTACGTCTTTACCACCCTTTAAGCTGGAATGCATAACTTCTTCGCGCTAGAAATGGCATGACAGTGGTAGTCACCCTTGCAAAAATAGAATATGTCCTACTTAGGCACCAGTGGTTAAATAAATTTATAAGTTTTGTTGTATAACGTTCGTAACGTAACGTAACGTGTATAACGTTCACGATTTCGCCTATAACTCAAATGCAACTGAGTTCAACAAAGGATTCTCCATTCAGAATCTTTGTTTTATAGTTTTTTACTTAGATATACATCTATATGCATACAATAGTAATTTCTATGAATTCGCGGTGCAGTGTCGTAATTTTGTTCCCATACCAATTTATTTGGCAGGTTTGCTATTTCGAGACTTTTTTGGGATAATAATTACCCGGAGACCTCGCCGCTTAACAGAGATCGACGTACTATTCCTACACACGGTAGAAGTCAATAGGCGATCAGTCGTAATCAGACAAGTACCAAGTTTTATAAGGAAATACGTACCTAAGCTTAAATATAACTTCTACGTTCAAAGAATAACATCCTGTTATAAAAACTCCTAAATTCATAATTACTGGATATAGGGTGTATTATAAGCCCGCTGGCGTACCAGCATCCCACTTATTGCTACAGCGAAACGTTTTGATTGGAAGGATAGGAGAGCTGTTATGCAATACGATTGAGAATTGGATGTCATGTCTCAGTGGTGGTTCCTACCCGGACTCACAAGACGGCCACCAGTAATTACGCAAATTATAATTTTGCGGGTTTGTTTTTTATTACACGATGTTATTCCTTCACCATGGAAGTATTGACATTTGTTAAGTGTGTATTATATTAGAAAAATTGGTACCCGCCTGCGGGATTAGAGCACCGGTGCATCACAAGATACGAATGCACCGGATGTCTTATCCTTTCGGCCACGACGCCTTAAAATATAGCGGATAGCGGCATTCACGTTGTGATGTCAATGGGCCCCAGCAAACATTTTATAAGTGAAACTTTAGCTTGTTTACGCATCTAAACAATCATTTTGTATAATTAAACCACAATGAAACAATAAAGTTATTAACCATTCACATAATGATGCGAGATAAATTAGGCGGAAAATTAATTGTCTGTGTTCTTTAAACGGCCAAGAGTAAATCAACCTCTGTGTTAATTAGAGAAAATCCAGTGGGTCAATGACAAGAGCTAAGCGAAAAACTAAAAACTTCATTCAATCTCTGACACCAATGACTCGAGAAGAAGTGATTTAGTTTTTAGACTGACATTACCAATCAGAGCTTGGAGTCGTTATTGTATTGTTTCAATTACGTTCTAAAGTTTCACATCGACCTTTGCCCTTCGAAATTGACTAGTTATATTTAGAAAGTTTGAGAAATGCAATTAATTAGCAATACAACCATTTTATACGCAATGAGAATATAATTGACTGATTGAATTATAATTGCGGCTGTACTGCTTTATGTAATTTTTGTACTGATAACGACTTTAACATTGCGATTAAGTTTTCATTAAATCTTATTTATTGTTAGTTGAAAATAACATTCAAATAACTTGTTGTGGAATTAGAAACACACAAGATGCTTTGTCCTTTATAAAACAATCTTGCAAATGCGCGAAATCCGAGGTCGCGCGTCAGAGTTTCTGTATCGAATTAGAATAAACACTTTGTTTTTATTCAAATTAAAAATTATATGGTGAGTATTAAATTGAATATGATTAATATAAAATGTATTGTGCTAAATACGTTCCTGAGAAGAAATGACAATTGATTGCTAATTTTTTAAGAGCACTTTTCCGGTTTATATCTACAGACTAGGATATGTATGTCCACATTCGCGTATTACGGAAGCCTTACTTTTTTTAACCCTATTACTACTGGACTACAATGCAACACACGACCTAGATTGAATTGCACTAAATTAGTACAATAGTGATTTAAACACGCAGTTTTAAATCTATATGGGAAGTGGAAATTGTATTATTTAGATAATTGCCACGTAATTAACTATTTTAACAATATTTACAAAGTATTATGTAAGGAGATAATGAAATGACAAAGTGATGCGTCATAATATTTGTTATACATAACCAAAAATGGCGGAGAGGAACGGAAAGTTGAACAAAAAGAACTTAAAACGAGGTTAGAATACTGCTTTCCAGAGAAGACCTGAAGTAGTCTTAGCTTAGAGGCAACTGGCAAGCATACGCAGGAAGGTAATCTGTGCATAATCTATTTAACGCAAAATTCCCGAAACCTGACAGAACCTTTCGTCTTCATCTAATGTTGGCGATTGAGAGAGATGGAGAGACTTCCAGAACCAATACGGATACATATAGCAATATGCTTTCGTAATCACCCGGTATTCTCTTTGTCATGCATTTATGTCACAGTTTGATCTTGTGTACCTAACTTGAATCCACGAAGGGCTTCCACGATGTCAGGATAGGTTTGTGCAATAAAATCCAAACTATTTAGACTGATGTTGTGCCGTAACGCAACAATGCGTTCCGATTTTTAGGGTAGGATAGTTGTCCAGTTCAAATGAGGTTTCGACCTTGTATCCCGAGGTGGGCGGTGGTGGTCAGGGCATATTGGAGTTCCGGTAATCACTTAATAACAAGCGTCTTCAGTTTAATCTGCAATTCTTCAATAATTTTTCTGGATCCGCAGGTCTCCTCCACAGGAATCCTAGGTTCTGAAGACATTTTTGAACGAACCTAATATCTTGCTGATATTAACGCCATAGACACAAAAATTAGAAAATATTTGTTTATGTATTTAAATATATGTTTCCAAACCATAAGTAAGGGCGATGAAAATATGGATATTCCTTCATAAAATAATCCTCTTTGGAAAGATAGTGAAGTAGACTTATTGTTAAGATAAATGTCTTACGGTTGGACTTTGAGAAATATGACTAGAAATAAACCGTAATGGATTGAAGAGTCCGCGGATTGATGGCGAAGATGCGCCTTTTTGTTCGCTTTACCCACATAACTCGGCATTTGCTCGATAACCTTAGCAATTTATTCATACCGGTTCCGAATACGAGTATGAACTTATGCGATGACGGCAAACATTTCCGTTGGAGAGCTTTTATTTTTTTCGTGTTGGCCGTTGACGGGGCAAACCTGTCCGATGTAGATTATATTACTGATGATGCTATTTGTCTATTAATATTCCACGTACCTTTAACTACGTATGTAGACAAATAAATATGTCTATGAACTAATCGCTACATTTCTTCGAATTGGTTTTGATTTTTATAAATATGATATTAGCTGACGATTTTACTAAATTTATTTTTATATTATGTGATTTTCAACAATATGCAAAAAATGGCATTGTTGTCATTTCATACATTTGATTTAATTATTAATTAAATTATTACTTTGTACTAAATGCATACAAACTATCTTACATCGTACAACTTCTTCTATAATGCTATGATGTTTATCATAGAAATTAAAGGCAGAGAAATTCAAAACTCACTACAACTACCTAAACAAAATATACTTGAAATGCCCACAATATAAAATATATTTGAAGGTACAGTGTAAGCACGTCAGTTCACGTATCATAAATTTCATTTTAATTCAATTAAATGTCAACGCAAAAAAGAAACAATTAATCAAATACCTATGTTTGAAATACTAAACATAACTAACGGAACACATAGAATTAAAAAAAATCGAGGCCATTGAGAGTCACCGCACACAGGTTTCAAGGTGTTTTAACACACTTAAATATTTATTTACCATGATTGATAAGACATCACAATTCTTCTAAAACCATCGAGGTGCACTTGGTTCATCAAGGGCTAGGGATTCCTCAAAGTTGGACGAAACAGTCACACGCGTCCTCAGCCACCAGCTCAACGCGAGCGTAGCACGCGATCCAAGTAAAAAAATAACACGGTTCTTATTTCTTTCACAGTCAATTTAAAGACTAAACAGTTGTTTGTAATGATCTCGTAGCACACAATAAACCAGTCAATATTGGAAAGGATCACTGGAAAGTTGCGATGCCAGTTATTTTCGACGAAGTTTGTTGACAGATATCGTGCACAGACAAACGAGACGTACTCGCCGCGCTCGCGCATACTCCGGTGTGAAGTCGGCCGCGGGCGTCGGGCAGCACTGCGACAGCAAGCTCGCTCCGACTCGCTCGGGTACGTTCGGGCGGCCCCGGGCGCACTCGGGATTTTGTGGTATGTGCGGCACGCGGGACCAGAGGCACAGCACAGCTTCGACTTCGGCACACAACTGCGAAGCGGCCCGGGGATTGCTCTTCGCGCGCTGTCGTCTACTTGCACATATTTTGATGCTATTTAATTGCAATTCTACTTCGGCGTTAACATGTACACTTGCCTAATATCAGGTTCGGTCCAAAGTCGGCATTAAGTCAACGGGAAAGTACAGTTAGGTGCAGGCGCGGGAATGCGTGAGCGAGGTCACGGAACTAGTTGTAAATGACAAACCTTCAGAGGGATAACATTCTGCTTAAAATTGTAACCTAGATACATACAAGGTATTTAGAATAAACTGGGATACAATCATTCTTTTAAAATTAATTGTTATTGTTTACGGAGATTTTATCTTTGAAACAACAAATCGTCGAGTCATCATGAATACGGTAGCGTAAAAATTACTATATTATTATTTCAACGTACTGAGTAAGCATGGGCCAGTTAGACACTAAAATATAACTGAATAATTGCAGTACCTGCTGAATGCGGATCCGCAAGTCTTACAGGTCATTGACGCATAAAACGCCTACGCTTTGATGTTGTTCAAAAATGCTTCAGCGTCAAAAAATGTACAAAGGGAAGAAGATTTTAAGCAATGTCAATATTGATTTAGTCAACCTGTAAATAAGGCAAACTTTTAAAACATTGCCTTAGACAAATATTATAGCCGAATATTATTTGCAGACACGTGCGCAAGTCCAGTCGACCTTCTCTTTGTGTGAGCCTAAATAATTTAAATAGCTTTGAAGTTTCCGCTGAGTGCACAGAAACAGGTGTGAGTTTAATATTCGAAAACATCAACGCCCTTCTGGCAATTGATTAATATTAAAAAAAAAATAGATCTCGTATGAAGTCAAGCGTTTTATACATACACATGCTACTACTGGTTATAAATCGAAAATAGTTTTCTTTTTTCACCAACTAGGTAGGTACAACCAATTCCATGAAATAATTGTCCAAGGATAAATATTCAAAATCGAATTTACAGATCAAATGACTTACATTACAATTCGAAGTTACAAAAGAGCAATATGACAGCAACTCTGTCTCATGACGTGAGTCACGGTTCCCCAACCTGTTTTAGAGACCTTCGAGCTAAGACATTCACGCTTTTATCTATGCGGAATGTACGAAACAATCAATTCCACTTTGAAGACGTGCACTAGATACCTTTAACGTTTTGTCTTCAAAAACAATTAAGAAAAGAGTAAAACAAAATAGATTAGTTATTTATAGATATTTTCTACGCTTTATTTCGCGCAGGTACAACACCAATATTTCAATTAATATCATAACTACTTAACAGTAATCAATCGTGTAACATACTCTATGCATATGAAGATTTCGAGGAAAATTCAGTAGGTATTATCGATAGACGCCTTCACGAAACAGATCAGAGATAGAACTTACAATGAATTCCATTCAAATCGAACTATCGTTAGTGTAATACCTAAGCTATAGTTAGATCATCTGAATTCCGAGTCAGATATGAGTCACGCCGCAAAGAAAGCTTCGTAGAGGCTTACAGCGGTGGCGCGCGAGAAACACCCCAGGAATCCTATTGTGAGCACCGCGCGATTTATAGACTTATCTAACGCACAACGCTGCTGTACCTGATATAAGTACGCTTATAATCTATAAATCAAAACCTTTAACTTTGTATTCAATTCTTTATTTAAAACCATATATGTATTTTGAATCTGAGAAGTGCTAAAAAAAGCTCGCTACCACTAATTCGAATATATTCTATAAATCAACACCTTTAACTTTGTATTCAATTATTTATTTAAAACCATATTATTTTGAACGTGAGAAATAAGAAAAAAACCTCGCTACCGCTAATTCCAATACTTAAATACTTTTGGTAAAATTCACGATTATATATTTTTTTCTTTAGACCGAAACAGTGTTGTGTTTCAGTCTTATTTAATTTAAATTTCGAAAAAAAAAAGAGAACGTCGGATCGTTTTTCTTTTTTTTTTTTTAAATGTAACCCGAACAGTGACAGTACATTCAACTCGTTCAAGAAACTTAATCATCGAACCGCTTAATGTTCTGTAATACAACAATTACGTAAACTAGTACGTAACGAACAGGTGTTGAGAGATGTCGGTGATTTGCGAAAAATCGTATACGTGTAGCAATACAAAGAAACTTGCGGCGGGGGGCGGCTTGGTCTCAGTGAAATCGTGCGTGTAGAAAGCAGAACTGGGAGGGGGTTGATGGCGTTCGCACACGCATCAACACTGCAATGGTCGGTGCAGCAAAAACTATTTTGTAAACAATGCAGTCGGTATTGCCAACGTAGTTTGGGCATAACTACTATTACAGTAAACACGAATATATAGTAGATTAGAATCTGTATTTTTTTTTAAAAAACGTTCATAGTGTTTTCGCATTTTCGCGCCGATCTTTGTTAAATATTTTTTTGACGTGAAAATGGAGTGGGGCGATGAAAAGAACGCCGTTCCCGAGCCAAGTTCTTGAAACTCTCCATCCGCTTGGTATTTATTAATCAAATATTTGTCTACAAGGCTATTAATAGTGATAAGAAACGTCCGAGTCGTATGTCTGTTTTCGTAATAAACAGGTGACCAAAGCACTGAAAGAAGCATTTTTTTATTGCTTAGGCCTTTTTTTTTTTTTTTTTTTTTTTTTTTTTTTTTTTTTTTTTTTTTTTTTTTTTTTTTTTTTTTTTTTTTTTTTTTTTTTTTTTTTTTTTTTTTTTTTTTTTTTTTTTTTTTTTTTTTTTTTTTTTTT